TTTCTTTCTTTCTTTCTTTCTTTCTTTCTTTCTTTCTTTCTTTCTTTCTTTCTTTCTTTCTTTCTTTCTTTCTCTCTCTCTCCCTCCCTCCCTCCCTCCCTCCCTCCCTCCCTCCTTTTTCTTTTCTTTCTCTCTCTTTCTTGTCCTATCTTGTCAAATGAATGTAGAAAAATTTTCTGATATGCTACTGATGACAAAATGTCTTACATTCTGCTTGACATACATTTAGGAAAATATTATATTGTAAACAATTGAACAAACAATAGCATTTAGGAGTATATTCTAAGAATGATGCAATTATAACATGGATTAGTTGTGGTTAAATTCCATTTTTGCTTTTCCTGTTATTTTTTAGTTCCTAGTCTTAATTAGTAACTACCCATTACAAAAGGGCTTGTTATCCACATGCATAGTAACAGGCTGCTGTTATTTAACACTTATCTAGTCCAGGATCCAGCCCAATAGTTTTCAGTTGCTATTTTCTCTAGCCTTCAGCAACTTGCAAGCTGTTGCCCTCCAGGTATATCGGGGCTGCAACTCTAGAGTTGCATCTCTCACATCTGGAGAGCACAAATCCACTGCCCTAATCCTTCTTTTAATAGACCTTCCATCATGTCTTTTTTATTCTATGGGCTGCTGAACAGCAAAGCAACCACAACATGTGTGCATTTCTTTAACTTGTGATTCAGAATCCTGTTAAGACAATATGTTTGGCAGCTGCCTAAAGCCTCCCCAGAAGGGAATGCATTATATCAAAGTTATTATTTGTCTTTTCATTTAACATACGTTACTTTTCTTGGCTAGCCTTTAAAACAAGAGAAGAATGCAACATTCAGAATATAACATGCGTTTAGAATTCTAGCATTTCTTTGGTTACTACTTTTGTTTTCAATTGAAAACAAAATCTCTTCAACACAGTCACAATATCTGTAAATAAACTCACATGTAAGCTTTGTAATTGTTGCCAATTTTCTGGATTCGGATGTCATATTTGGAGTCAACAAAAGCCTCTGTCGTGACATATGTTTTGGCCATGGCTACCACACTTACAATGTCTTGGAAATCATGTTGGTTCTCAATTTTCACCTATGATTGAAAAAGTTCCAAAATAGAAAGAAAAACAAGAAAAAGAAAAGAAAAATAGTGCAGTCAGTCAGGGATTACTAGAAATTACTATCACTTTGTTGGGTGAAATGCCCTGGGGAGGGAATACATTAAAAAAACAGAGGGGTGGGAATTGTAAGACATTTCTGTGCACAACACTCACTCCTTTGAGAGAAACAGAATCTTAGTCTTGTCCATTCCTCAATTCCTCCAAAGCAATTTGAAATAAATGTACTAATCATCTTCATTCCTATCAATCTGAGAATATTAGAACTACATAGAGGAGTAGAATAAGAAGACAAATGACAAATCAATCATCACAATACATGTTTGCTATTTTCTCATGATTGCTATTTGTTCTAGATAACTATTTATTGTATCAACGCTACTGCAAGTTTTGAAGCAATGCCCCTCTTCCAATCCTTGTCATCATTCCACAGAAAAAGGAAATGAAATACATTGTTGTTTGCTTTCATGTTTTAAAATAGGTATTCTGTCCATTTTCCTGTTTGCAAAATATATAAATCAATCTGATGTGTGTAATGGTGTAAAGCTGCCTATAAAAGCACCATTCCGCCTCTATTAGAGATCACCTTAAAATGGAAGGATAACACAGAATGTCCTTAGTGCATTCTAAAACAATTGCAGAATGTTTATGTTGCAAAACCGGAACAACTGCCAACTTGATTGCACTGGGGTAACCAAAATCAATTCTCCCACCTCCATCCCAAAAGGGAAGGGGAAAAAAAAGACTGAAAAACATAAAGGCCTCTTGTCAATTTCACCCTTTTATGTAAAAATAGCATCCCCCTTCCTGGACTAGCTAAGAGAGCTGAAACTCAGAAAGGAGGAAGAAAGACAAGGCAAGAGATCCTTCCAGCAGAAACATACCCATAGCCTCTCCAAAATCGCCCTGTTGAAAAAGGTTATGATTTGCATCATCATCGCTGTTTTGATTAAAACTTAGCTAGACCAGAAATAGGCATAGACTAAACTCAGCTAACATGGAATCACAAGAAATCCAGAGCTGCTTTTGAATTGGCATAAAGTCTTCCATGGAAATATCCCTAGAGTGCAGAAATTAATAGAGCAGATGTGGGTGGGGGATACTAATTTGAATCTCTGTTGTGGAATTGAATATCTACCCTCCAACTTGAAAACTTGATGGGTTGATTCTCACTTAAATTCAGTTCCATTTGAGGCTCTGATGATCCCATCAGTACCAGAAGTACAATCTAAGCTATGGAATTTAGAACAGATATTGTCGTAGGATTCCATACATATTGCATGGAGTTCAATAAATATATCAAAGATTGCCTCTGTCATGTGAGACACAAGAGACCTTGGTGGTCCAAAGTACATTTGGTCAGTTGTGCTCAGCTGTCAGATGCAACCTTTCCTGGCTGGGTCTTGTAGAAAGTCAGTACCCACCCACTCACCCTCCTAGGGAATGAAATATTTTGGGGAATATTAAAAAGAAAGAATAGAATATTTCCCCTAAAGGAGGGATGAAAAAAAAAAATCTTAGGGAGGCAGAAACCAGCACCAGTCTCCCTGCCCCAAGCAGAAACGGAGGAGGCCAGCTTTTAGAAATGCAGATTTGATAATCCATTCAGAAAGACTGGGTCAGATAGAAACTTAGGTTGATGTGATTAACTCAGACAAACACCTAGGAGTTGCATTTCCCCTTCTGCCAATAGAGCCAGCCATGACCCCATAGGAATCTAACAACAGCCATTAGAATATTAAAGGACATGTTCTTGCAGAGGAACAGGAAGCTTAAATACAAAGCCCAACGTAGGTATAAAATCTCACCCACTCTCAACTCCATTTTGTTAGCTGTCCCAGAACTGCACGCTGTGTATGTGTTGGTTCTGTTCACCAATAAACAGAATCTTTCTTTGCAACCAGCCTCCATTTTATTTCTGGCTTAGAACTGGACCTGGATTTTTCTTCCAATAGTCTCAATAGCACAAAGTCTGACAACTACTATAGCATGCCTTGCAGTTGGCTGGAGGTTACAACTGGTACAGAATGCAGCTGCTTCAGTCATCCTAAAGGAACTACACTATATGCTACAGGTCAAGTTTCAGATCTTTCAAAATAACTTTTAAAGCCTTAAATGGTTTAAGATCCTGATGTCTGAGGAGTATCTGTTCCAGTAATACATATTTGAAGCGGGAAGAAAGCTTTCTTAAAAACCCTATGCCTTGGAGATATGCATGATGTAAGAAGATGGGAGAGGGCTTTCTCTATTCTTTCTCTCCTCCTCCCTCTTTCTTCGTCCAAGTTTTCAAGTGCCCTTCCCTAACATTGCACAACATTTCTTGGTGTTTTTTTGGTATAAGTTGACTATTTTCCTTTTTACCTTTGCAGCCTTAACATAGCCCGACCACATTCTACTATTCCTTCTGAAAATCTGTATCTATATTATGATTCCTTTTGGTTAAGGCTTTTAAAAGTAATATTTGCATGTTACCATATTAATTTATGCACATCACAAAGTATAATCTTTTATGAGATTCCTAAAGATAAAGAATTTTTTTAAAAAATGAAGTTATCTCAATTTTGCTTGGTGCTTTTAACATGTCACACCCTATAACCATATCATCTTCAAGCTGGAGATAACAACTGCATTCATTCATATCATCTGGAAAGTACCAGATTGCAGAAGGAGGCCCTGTCTGACTCTCTTTGGTTTTGTATGTGGTTGAAAAGACACCAGTGTATGTATGTAGTAGCAGTTTTCAGATTTAGCTAAATATGAGATATGGTCTACAAAAATCAGGATAACTGCTTGAAAGCATTTAAGAGTAAGTGCTGGAATTGGGGGGGAGGGGGGGAGAGTAAAAGTTCAGGGGGTTTATTGCTTTGGTGCCATTTAGTGATTCTTTGACATTTGCAGTGCCAGATCTGGTAGCTCAACAGTAGGTTTAGGATCAGAAAGCTTATTGGATCCTATCCAGACTGCTTCTTTACCAAGCATTGTTTGCTTGTCCTTGTCTTTACAGGAATGGGTGCTTTTTGAGAATTCATGACAAAGAGAAATGAACAAACATTTTTCTGGCATGGAGTGGAGCCATGTTCTTCTGCCTGTTTGTGCAGCTGCTGGAGATATAGAATGTCTATGTGGAAAAGAAAGCAACTCTGCTGTCATTTTTAACTTTTACCACTGTAAATATATTATATAGAAATATATACCCCCCCCCCAAAAAAAAACCCCAATGACAAACTACTTATAATTTTAATATGGTGCATGACCTTTGTAACAATTATACAATGGCTGCATTGCTATTAACTTTCGATATTGTAAAACTGGATGCTCTTCTATCATTAAACTTAAACATGTAAATAAAATAATGACATTTCTCTTCCTGATTAAACAAATATGTCTCTTGTTTTGTTTTGTTTTTTTCTCAGTGTTTTAGACTATGACCTTGTTGGAGCAAACTTGTATTCTGCAATAAGGAGTACTGAATTTTAAAAAATAAAAAGAAGAAAGCATGGTAAGCTGCATTTGGACAGACAAAATAGACACCTTGGTGCCACTCAGTTTCATGCTACGAAGCTTCTTCCTTTATCTAACTTTATTTTTTTAAATATTTACTGTAAATTTAAAAGCAAAGTGCTGGTGTCTCACTTTACTGGTGTCTCACTCCCAAATGCATTCTTACAAAATAAAAGAGGACTTCATTTGGAAATGGACTAACTTGCCCCAAGAAGGCAGAGCTGAAATGGCAGAATATCTAGAAGTCACAAGGACCAACTTCACCAGTTAGTCTTCTAGTAAATGGGTATCTTATGACCACTTGGATTCAAGCTGGTAACTTCTTGGGCTGGGAAGTGAAGCAGGATTGGTCAACTATGTGGATGAAGGACCACAAAAAACCTCAAGAAAACTGCCTATGTGGTCAACAGAAGTTGTACTTAACTGGACAGCATCATTATTTTTTATGCCAGATACACAATTTGAATTCTAAAGTTATTGATGGAGTACTGCAGCCCATTTAATAAACTGATACATGGCTTTAAGAGGCGGTTTGCTGTTGACATCCTCTCAGGGCAGAGATGCCTCTAAAGTCATCTAGAGGCTCTAGGAAACATTAGTTGGAAATCAACTTTATTTGTGCCAAAACTTTGATTCAATTTTCTTTCTTCTAGAATGCTGATCCCCTTGTCTCCCCTCTATGATTGGTAGTCTACATAAATACAAAATGGAAAAGAGTGGCATGCTTGACAGTAGTTAGATTACTTCATCTCAGTGAGAACTATTTGTGCAGATGCAAATTTATAGTCTAAATCTATTCACATAAAATCATTTGCGTTCTCAGTGGTTTTTTTCCCCTGTGATTGTTAAAGCAGGATGACAATACATTTTATTATCAGTTATCGATGTAAGCTATTAATCCTCAAACTGGTGACCTCCAACCATGTTGGGATTTTAACTTCCAGAATTTTAAATACTGGCATGTATCACGTATCAGTCTGAATTCAGCTGGAAATCATCAGATTGAGGAAGGAGGATAAAATCTGAAGCCCATTTATCTATCTACAGTAATATAGAATTAAAAAAAACACCTTGCTGCTATTTACACATAGCTTCTTTGGCAAGCCAAACACTGTTGGAAACATGGTACTCGCATCTCAGGAATTCTTTAATCTGGGCTGCAGTACTCAGTAGGATGTTGACTTTGGGTTTCATGGCCTAAATGACCATTCCCCAATGTGAGGGTTTTTATGAAAAGATGAGGGACCATAGTTATTATACAGCCTAGAAGCTCCCTGATTACTCTTTCCAGAACAATTCTGCTATTTGGGAGTATTATGTCACAATGATTGGAATTTAGCTTATCTAATCCTCTGAAACTTCCAGTAAGGGCAGACTCTCATGGTTTCCTTCTCTTTGGAAATATAGGAACCGTGGTGGTGCAGTGGTTAGAATGCAGTATTGTAGTCTAATTCTGCTCCTGCCAGCAGCTTGA